AAATAGACATTATAATCGATACAAGAACGAATCTATAGTGCTTACAATTTTTGTCTGTCTGTCTATCTGGGAATGCATTACAAGAAAACCACTGGACAGTTTGATGAAATTTGGTATGATGATAGCTGGTTATTCGTGTCAACATTTAGGTTACATTTTATTGCGGGAAAATATTATCTCACCTCTGAGAAATCAATACTAAAATTAAAACTTGGGGAAGAAACCGAGCGTAGCAAGTGTGAGTGACTAGTTACATATAATAATGAAAAAATTCAAACACTTTCATACTCAAGCAAATATCTAAATTAAAATGATTAATTTAATATCTTTGTTACCTAAAAGGATCTGTTCTATAAATAACAACCAAAAACTTTTAAAGTCCCAAAACAAAAAGTAATGAAGCTTATAATCTCAGATTTTATTACAAAAACCCTTTCATATATTATTACCTTATGAAATCGTTAGTATAGAGAAAATAGAATGAAATTCCAAACAGAGGATTCTATGTGTAAATAAATACTTACTTCTATATGTAATAAATTTTAAAAAAATCGGCCAAGTGCGAGTAAGACACGCGCACGAAGGGTTCCATACCATTATCTATAAAAACGGCAAAAAATCAAGTTCATTGTATGGGAGCCCCCCTTAAATATGTGTTTTATTTTAATTATTTATTTTAAAGTGAATAGGTATATAACTCAATATTATGTGTATATTTCAAGCATCTACCTGTTACCATTATCAATATCGAGCAAAAACGAGCAAAAAAATCACGTTTGTTGTATGGGAGTCCCCTTAAATATTTATTTTATTCTGTTTTTTAGTATTTGTTGTTATATCGGCAACAAAAATACATCATCTGCGAAAATTTCAACTATCTATCACGGTTCATAAGATATCGCCTGGTCACAGACGGATAGACAGACAGATAGATGGACGGACAGCGGAGTCTTAGTAATAGGTTCCCGTCTTACCCTTTGTGTACGGAACCGTAAAATGCTTTAGAACTTAAATTAACTGCTAAAACTTCATAAAAAATGAGTAAGTTACTTCGAAAGCTAGACAAACATCAAGTATTGAGTATTCTATAATACTATATTCGTCTCGCAGTCCTGAGTCCGGGATCCAAGAGGATCCGGGAAGCCAAGCCAAGTATAATAAGATTAGATAGAAGAAATCTTTCAAATTAATAAGAAAATCCTTCAAATTGACTAGAAAAAAACATTATCTAAACAGCATAAATCCTAAAATATAATATAAAGAGTCATTCAAAAAAGCTCGACGCCATAAATAAAAAAACTTGAATATAATATTGAATACTAATCTCTTGTTTAAAATAAGTTTGCGCCTTATTATTGTAAAATAATATAACTTTAGGTAAGTTTAGTTTTTAAAGATCTTCTATAGATATAATTTTTAGCATACTTGAACTAGTTTCAAGTCATGATATTGAAAAGCCCTTAGAATTATAACTTTTACTAATTCTTTTCATAATGTATGTCTTTGTAAAACTAAATGTTACGAAACATTAGTCCACGTAACAATATTCAAGCAAATACCTAAAAAAATAAGACAATACAATAAAATATTTTAAATTAATTATTTATTTCAAAATTTTAATTAATTATTTTTTTTAATAATTTAGTTATTAAAAAAAAATTACACAAAAATTCATAAGTTAATCATGAAGTTTCTTTTTAAATTTAAACAGTCATATAATATATATTTTTTCACAATTAAACTCCCCAAAATGTCGCATAACCAATCTGTACAGAGCATTGAAGAATTACACTTTGATTCCAGTACCAATTGAACTGACCATGGAGAATTGTGCCGTAAATAAAGATTACCGTCAGCCACGCTGTCAAAAATATCCCTTGTAATGTGGCCACGAAACGCGATATCCACACATAAAGCAGTAAAGTTGACTTTCTAATAACACGCAGCTAAAAGATTTGAATGAACAAAAATTTCTTGATCTCATAAGCATCCTTTAGATGCACTTAGTAAGGACTTTTAAAAAATTCGTCTCTTGTTATAGGTTTGAATTTTAAATCTTTTCGGATTTTTTGCGGACTTATTTTAATTTTTGGTATCCAACGTTTCCAATGGTTTACAGTAAAAACACACAGTAAATAGTACACAATAAAAATCAAAATATATCCATGAAAAAATCCGAAAGATAGTTATATTTAAATTGTGAAATATTCGCGTTACTTTAAGAAAGTATTATGTTGATTTTGATTGTTTGCTTGTTTGATTATATTAGAATATTTAGAATTTTCAATTTTATAAGTATAGTAATAGCAACACTAAATAAGATTCTTTAATTAAGTTTTAAAAAATCGTAAGAATTATAATAATAGGACTAAATTTAACTTATTGACGTTATTAAAGTAATTAATAATCAACAAATTTTGTAAGGTATTTCGGTACCCTTTTTCTATCTCTTCCAAATTATTGTACAACGTTCTGGGTGGGCGTGTAACAACTACAAAATAATATTTGAAACGTGTAAAACCTTAGTACCTATAAAGCACTCATCATCGGGAGCATAAATAAAAAATAAAACCGCGACTAAATTCGAAAACATAGTTTGATTTAAAAAATTCTATATATATATTTTTAAATTTCTTAATGGATTCCAAGGTACCCGAGTTTTATTTACAAATACTCGTAGGTCATATTTCTAATCTGCATTATTCAAGTAGAATAAAATGTTAAGCTTATATAAATTTTCAGACAAAGCATCGAATTTAATGGCCTGAAATGCCCAAACGCCAATGTGCCTTTCGTTATCATCGGTCAGTTTAGTCGTTAAGCCGTAATAAGAGACAATAAATATACCAGAACGAGTACGTAACTGAACCGTTTTGTGTCCACGCGACTACAAATTACACGGATAGTTCTTCTAACATGGATATACAGTTGTAAATGATTGATCAGATAAAGAAATAATAAAGATACAAGTATTATTCAAAAATATTTAGAATATATAAAAAAAATTCTATTTGTGATAATTTTAGTATGTTATTATAATATCTATATATATAAAAAATCAATTGCCGTTCGTTAGTCTCGCTAATACTGAAAAACGGCTGGACCGATTTGAATAAATCTTTTTTTTTGTTGGGGGTGCGTCAGGGGTAGTTAAAGTATTAAAAAATAGGGAATAACCCAAAAAAAAAACTGAAAAATTGAAAAGTTCAGAACTGTTTATTTTGTACCTATGTATATATAGTTGACCTATTTCATATTAACCTTTAAACCGTACCTAGGCATGAATCTGAGCAAAGCGAGGATGAGTCGATAGTTTATTATAAAAGTAAATTAAAAAAAAAACTTTTGTCCATAACGCACTAAAATGAGATTTTTTAAATCGAAGTGTATTGTGTAGGACTTGTCAAACAAACCAAATAAGACCAAGCTCAAAGGGTTTACCAGTAGCATTGGATGATCATTGCTACTGAGCTATTTTTTAGCTGCATTATCGACTCGCAGGTTAGTGGCTAGACGACCAAATCTGTTCGATAATACCAAATGATTGTACATTAAGATATGTACATACACTTGCAAAATTTTAAGTCTATTTAAAAATAAGAGGTTAATATTTTTAAAATCTACATACCTACTTTTTTCTTATCTTCTCCAAAATGATTATTTAGCTATATTCTTTGTAAAGATTTTTTTTAATTAAAAATATAGGTAAATTATTTGGGTATAAGCAACATTAACTACATCGAACAAACCATCTATTAAATGAAACATACATAAAACATACATCCAAATTAGTTTCATAGAGTCCATGAAAATAACCATATTAAACATATATTATGAAATTATCTAAAAATATCAACGTATTCTTGAGACGAAATTGTAAATTACGAAATATTTTTAAAATTAACAAACTAATTACTTAATGCCCCTTTCGTAAAAATTTCGCAAATCTAAAACTAGACGAGAGAAATAATTTATTTTACATACTTAGTTATACATATAATCTATTAAACAATTCTCAATCTTATGTTAAAAGAGATAAAGTTTGAAATCACATATTGTATTTGGACATCTTCATTGCAATTTGAGCATCATGATTGATGAACTCAGATTCTCGATTATAAAAAGTGATTTGAATAAATCCCTTTGAAATCTAACGACACTGCGTCCAACAGTGTATAATTTATCATGTTCATTCACTGAGCTTCCCTGACACGAATATCGTTTAGGAAAATCAGTTCGAAAATAATTCACAATGAAGTACTATGGACTTGGATTCACTCAAATTTAAATGTATCGTGTAATTCATCAATCTATCTAGGTATCTATACATATAATAAAATTGTAACTAAGCCGAATCTGTATATTAAATATTTTTTGGAAAATCTTTCTGAAATAGACATTATTATCGATACAGAGACCAAATCTATAGTTTTCAGAATTTTTGTCTGTCTGTCTGTTACCGCATCACAGAAAAACCACTGGAGGGATTTTGATGAAATTTGGTATAGTGATAGCTGATTATCCGGGTCAACGTATAGGATACTTTTTACTGCGGGGAAATATCTCATTTCTGAGAAAAAATACCAAAATTGCAATGTAAGAGTATACTAATATGTAAAACCTAAGAATTTGGTGTTTGATCATCTGAACACGGGTGGAGTCGCGGGAAATGCTAGTAAATATAATAAAATTCTGAGTCGATTCTGTACAGTAAATATTTTTTTTGAAAATCTTACTACTACTACTATTTAAAAATGTTATGTAAAAATATTACAACCAAAACCAATGTTATTTATTCATTTTATTATGGCCAATTTTTTTTTATAAATTGAATTAGCTTTTGTAGAGAGATAATATGTAGAGAGATAATTAGTTAAAAAACACACGTAACATCAAAACCTTCAAAAACTGGAGAACAGGTTACCAAATGATTAGATATTCATTGTTTTTAAAACGTTTATTATACAAAATTATAAAAAAGGTCCATTAAATCAATTTTACTGTCGTAAAATAAGATGTTTTAATCTAAGGTATAGTGCTTGGTCATCAATCCAGGCTCGTAATGCTGATACTTTTGCGTATACTCCAGGATATCTAGGCCGTGCACAACCAAGGCCCCAAGACACTATTCCAGCGAGTTTTCCATTGTGAACGAGAGGTCCGCCGCTGTCACCCTGTTTAAAAAAATAATATTTTTCAAAATTTATATTAATTTTAAGATTTTCTCCACTTCACGCAAGTAATAAAGTAAGCTTATTGGGTAATTGTGAAAAAAGTGAATCTACGTGATGTCAAAAGAGTTACTCTATAATGAGTTCATATGCATATTTGTATCCGCTAACCTCAAAACTGCTAAATTATTTTAAATGAAGTATATAGCTTTAAATTATCTTTTATTTCTATTTCTATCAGTTCAACTTAGTTTTGTATTTACATACATTTTTTTCTAAGTAAGAAAATAAAATATACAAACAGAATTAACGAATGATAAACAAAAAAATATAAGGTAATAAGTTTGAAAACAGTTTTAGCCTATTATATAAGTAATTTGTTTCAATACAAACAAATTATTATTAATATATAATATATATATATATATATATATTTAAACCCCTTTTACCTGGCAAGCGTCCTTTCCTCCACTTGGTAAGCCAGCACACATCATCCTAGGAGTGATGGTATATAGCGGTGCATAGGCGTTGCTGCAAGCCTTTTCGCTTACTTTTGGAACCAGTACCATTTGTAACGTCCTTGGATTGCCACCGCTTTCCTAAAATAGAATAATATTGAATAAAATATTGATATCTACCTGATCGATTTCTCTCAAAACGAGCAAATTCACATTCTCTCACTAAAGCAGATATTATCGAATGCATGTTGATCTTGTGGCGAGGGATCAGTAGTGTCCGGCAATCCAGCTGGGTGTAAAAATAAAGAGACTCACTTGATGATGGTGAGTTGCTCTGTTAGCAAAGTGAACCGTGAGAGGAACTTTATATGAATAGTAATAATAATATAAATGATAAATTGCCACCTAACCATCTATTGCCCAGATTTTATATGTAAATGCATTTCTCAAAGTTATAAAAGAAAAAAAAGCTATATAGTGCTTAAACTTTAGCAAATATAATACATAAATGTAATACTAGCGGCTCACCCTCGCTTCGTTCGGGATCACCTCTAGAATAATAAAAACAGATCTTTCCCACGGAAACCGTACATTTTTCCGGGATAAAAAGTAAACTATAGCTACTTCAGACTATAATCTATGTCTGTACCTTTCATGCTTATCTGTTCAGGTGTTCTGACGTAATTAAGTAACAAACATCCATCTAAAAAAAACCATCTAAGCTTTCACATTTTTAATATTAGTAAGACTAGTAATATTCATACTCTATTTACAACCTTTAATACTCATACTTTTGTGGGGACGGAAAGAGATTAAGTATAAAGCCGAAGTAATCCTATTACCTTCACAGCGTCTGCTGCTGAGCATTTCGTGACAAAAATCTAATATAAGAACAACAAAGATTTGACAAATTATTTATTTAAGAAGATAACATTAACATCTATATTTTTCCTCTATATAAATAGACTAGCGACTCACCCTCCGCTTTGCTCTGGTTCGTCCCTATGTAAGTTTTAATGGTTGGTATGAAATACAAATCTTTGAATTTATCGGCTTTTCTGTACTACCGACGCATAGGAAATCTAATATATTTTGATACGTAAAATATATATATACCTAATAGATATTCATATCTTAAAATATTGTCCTCTGGCACCGACTTCGAAAATATCTGATTAGGTATCTATTCTAAATGAAAACCCCCGTTTAGTTATTTTTTACATTTTACTGCTTGGAAGTCGGTTTTATTTTATTTTTTAAAGTTTTTATTCTTATATTTTTAGTGTTGACGTAATAAGCAGTTAATTTGTAGGAAGAAAGTTTTTAATAACATATTCGATTAAACAATTTATTTGAAAAAAATATTTATTGTTATTTTTTTTAAAACCGCTCGACCGATTTCGATAAAATTTATATGGACCACCTGGGAAGTACACACTTTCAAACAAAACAAAAATTTTCCAAATCGGTTCAGGTGTCTTCGAGTAATCGGTGAACATACATAAAAAAAAGATTCCGACGAATTGAGAACCTCCTCGTTTTTGAAAGTCGGTTAAAAATTTAGATAACTATTTATTATTTTTAGTTTATCAAATACATAGGCTCCTTGTTTACGGTAAAGGTAAAATTCTTCCACGGGATTGATAATAACAAAAAAAGACTTAGACGACTTTAATGAAACTTTCATAACAGGAGAATGCAACTCAGATTATTAAAACCCGCTGATTTTATCGTCATTACACGTGACTACGCTCCTGCGTTTATTTCTATAAATAAACATTAAAAATTGTTATTTAAACATTATTGTTCTTATTGATTGATGGTTTCCGACAGTTTTATATAACTTCTAGTAAAACCCGCGGCTTCGCTCGCGCTAAAACTACAAAAAACCCTAAAAGGTAATTTCATACAAACTTTCATCCCCTATTTTACCCCCTTATAGGATGAACTTCGAAAAATGCTAAAACAACGTATTTATTTAATTTTAAAGAAGAGCATTAATACCAAGTTTTAAATAATTCTAACCATAAATATTTTTTTTGGATTATTTATAACGTGTTTTCTCATGGAAATTAGATGATCTCTCGCGGTAAAGAGTAGCCTATGTCACTCTCCAGCCCTCTAACTATTTCCACACAAAAAATCACGCCAATCCGTCACTCCGTTTCGGCGTGAAAGAAGGACAAACAAACAAGCACACTTTCATATTTATAATATTAGTATGGATGCGATTGCAAATAAAGAAATAACTGAGTTATTAACTAAACACTTCAAAGTTATCTTGTTATTATAATAAGTTTATTGTTATTTCATTTTGCGTGTACATACTCGTAAATGACTTTGAATTACTTGTCAAGTATGCTTGATAAAGGTTTATCTTACAATTATTTAATTAATTATTAATATTACAGATAGGTATCCGTAATATTTATTCATTACAAGTAATACCGTATTAGACCAGTTATATAAGCATTGCTGACTACCCACATGTAGAGTGTTCAATGCTTGTATGACATAAATTGAAGCATTAACGGTTTTTTTTAAGCATTTATTAGTAGAAGACCTCATTTTAATAACAATTTAGCTTCATTGTATTACAAATTAGGTAAAAAAGTAATAAGTTAATTAATAATATAAGTTGAAACGATTAATTATTACCTCATTAGCCTATTACTTAGTGTGTACGGCTTCAGATCCTGAGGTCTTGCATTCCAGTCTAGGGTAAGAATAGTTTAGATTTTGTCTTTCAAGCCTTGTCCCGTACCTAATCTCTTATCGGTCACATCGAGTTTCCTTCATCTGGACTAGTTTTATGCGTATTAGCTGATATAAAGCGAGGTACTACTTAATTTTTAACTAATAAAATAAGCTTTCACATGCTAAGATGTATCTAAATAAATAAAGCTGAAAAAATTGTTTATTTCAACGCTCGAATCTTTTAGACTATGATTTGAAAAATTATCTTGTATAGCCGAATTACATAAGATAGATACCGTGATGATTGAGGCTATCTACCATCACGGTTCAACCACTATGATCTATCATCTATTACATATAAATAAATATGTGGGCAGATCCGCGGGCTGGGCTAGTAGACGTAAACTTCGTATTAATTTAAAAGTCCTTTATATTATGGCTCAGTTTGTAGTGACCTTACTTGCTGTGCCAACGGTTACGGGTTCAAGACCCGCTGGGGGTATTCATTTGTACGATGAGCACGAATGTTTGTACTCCAGTCATGTGTGTTTATCTTTATTATATGTATGTATCTAAAGTTATATATGTGTAGTGTATCAACTATCTGGTATCCATAACACTGCTCTCGTAGCTTACCCTGGAACTAGAAGGTGATATGTGTTAATGTCTCAACATATTTAAATTTATACATACCCTTATATTGCCCCAACCAGTAACAACAGTGAGTTCGCCATCACCAACTTCTTCTCCTTCAGAAAACAACTTTATAGGTGCTACTCTCTCATTGAATTCCAATGGTTTAGAGAGCCATAACAAGGCGACGTCACTATCCATTTTATTATAATTAAAGCCAGGATTCCATGCTAAGTCACCAACGGGGTAGATTTCTCCGCCTTTCAGACTTGATGACGAACCAACTCGAATGGCTAAATTGCTTGAAGATACCCTGTGTTTAAAGGAAACTTAATTAAGGTAAACGCGTATATGTAATGAAAGTCTGTTATTTTTAATATTAAATGAACGAAAAAGTAATATTCAGCTTTAAAATAAAAAATAAGAAAATATGTGTATTTTTTTTTAATTCGTCCCTTAAAGGGGTAAAAGGGGATTTTTGTACTTTTTAGTAAAATCATAAGTGAGTCTTACCCAATTAGACAATGTGCAGCAGTTATGACGAGATCATTGTCAATAATAGATCCGCCGCACGAATGCCGGCCCCTATTAAGTATTGATACCTGGTAGGGTGCAGCTGTTATGTCAATATCTTCCCCTCCGACAATCCTTGCATCTTCTAGTAGCGGAGTTGCAACTGAAATGATAGAAAATTGCAACCATTAATTCATGAAGACTTAAGTTAGCTACCTTATTAAAGATTTTTTTTATGTTATGAAATGCATTTATGCATGTATTATACATACATACAGATTTTTGAAGACCGGCTAAAAAACCAGTACGATCCACTAAAAGCCCAGGAACCTTTCCGGTTTTAATGGTTGAGTCCACTAAGCTATTAGAGAAGTACCAGGAGCAAACCTTATTAGTGGCTAGATTGTGGATTCGATTACCGGATCACGGCAATTATGTAAAGCTTATAATCCTAGGCTGGATCTTTCTGATTTATAGATCATTGGTCTATAAGAGTGAATAAATTAGAATGCACTTAAGCTACATTTACATAAGATCGGGTCAAACGTCTATTGAATAAACTTAATTTTCCTCGTAACTCCGCTGTCATGAAAAACGGGGATGGTTTTGATACTATAGTAATATTATGGTATTGATACTAATAATTATAATTATTGTCACGTTAAAAAAATATAATCGGCGTCAATGGAAGCAAACAATATGATTAAATGAAATAAAGTAAAAATAAATATTTGCGTTAAACACAATCATTAACTATTAGTCATTGGAAATGTCAATATTGTTTTGAGTAATTATAAATTATTAGTAAAGTAATCTATACAGATAAAAAAAATTGAAGTGTCTGTTTGTAATGTCAAAATAACAGCATTTTTAAATATATACGGTGTGCTTTGCTTTGTATCGGCTGGCACCGACTTCGAATATATTTGATTAGGTATGTATAGTAAATCAAAAGTACCAATCAGTTATTTTTTACTTTTTAGTGCTTTTTTTTAAGTCGGTTTTTATTTTTTTGTTAAAAAGTATTTAATTTTCCCTTTTTAGTGTAGACATAGTAATAGCAAAGTGAGACTAAAGTATTTTAATAAAATATTCGCTTAAACCGTTTAAGTTAATTTGATGCTAATTTTAATATGAAGACTGACAAACTAAGATTCACTTTTAATAGTAACACTAAAAATTCTGGCTCTAAAATCCAAGTCTAACCTGTTAGGCTTGTCAAATCAAACAAAATAAGCCCAAACTCAAAGTATCTATATATACTATTAACCGTTGAAGAGTTCCACCTATCCACCTTCTGGCCTTACGTCAGATCAGGTCAACGATACCGAAACACTGTACTATCACCAGAAATAGACACACTTGCAAAGTTTCAAGTCAATATGACAATTAGAAGTATTTAAAATTCATCATTTACTATTTTACCACCCTTAGTGGGTGGTACTTTTTTGAAATTAAAATAGAACCAATCTGGAATATACACTTTCAAACCAAACAAAAATTGTCTAAATCGGTTAATAAATGACGGAGTTCTGAGGTAACAAACATAAAGAAAACATACAACCGAATTGAGAACTTCCTCCTTTTTGAGGAAGTCGGTTGAAAAAGAATAAATGTCAAATATAGTCAAAAATCCGATAAACGAGATATATAAAGTAAAACTACGGATACTCTGTAGCCTATCTGATATTGCGACATCCGAAAACATATTTCGTAATTTATGTCATCGCTGCCGTAGCGATAAAAGTATCTCAGAAAACGGTATCACTTTGTAAAATTACTTTTAACTGTCACTTAACAATTTCTACTTAAAACATTACTTAAACAAATTTCGTAATATATTTTTTTATATTAATTTATACTGTACATAATGTATTTATACGTCAATCAATAGTATAATCACAAATACTCGATGATTCAAATTCATGATAAACTTTCTGCTATCAAAAGTTTAGTTGTAAAAATCACGATACACAAATGCCAAGCACAAACTGGTTTAATAGTACATATAAAGCTTACCGGCATAACCGATACAAACAAAAACTATAAAAACTTTGAACATTCTGCGAACAAATAGAACTGGTCGGTGTTTTCATTAACGAATGTTCATTTATACCTGAGAGTTACAAAAGAAAGATTATTAGGTCAATATAATTATCAAACGTCTGATAATGAAACCTTCACACCAATTCACATAAGATGTAATGATAAGGTTTATTATTTTGATATAAGTGTCGCGATAAATTAAAAGAGTTCATTACTCCAGTGATAAGAGTTTCAATGGCTGTTGTACTTTTCAGATTAAGTGGTTTTGTTAACTCTATTGTGTTAGTTTAACAATGTTTTTGGTTTCGTATCTGAAAGATTCCAACATATTACTAGGCCCTATCCAATCATCTATTTGAATAGGTTTGTGTATTTTCAGGGCTACATCTCCTAAACCATAATAGATAGCTGGTAAAAATATTTACAGATATTTATGTATGTTACTAAAAAAGATTTTTTAAGAAATAAAAAAAATGGACGACCATTGCACAAGTAAATGACTAAAGGGGTTCTTTTTTAACTTTGGTATTTTACGTTAAAAATAAAAATAAGGGACATATTATGTATATTTATGAATATTAATAAAAAATATATTAGTTGTATTAAAAAAAGGCATATGCTTTATTTGATATGAAACTTTCAATCCTCGCATATCGTCTCATTAGTAAGAAAAACAACAATTTTGCTACTTATAAAAACTCATAAAATTTCAAGTAGTCTAGCTCTAAGGGTTTTTACCGTTCTAAAAATTCTTTATATTAAAAATAATATAGACAAAATAATGAAAGCTCCGTCGTCCGATTTACACTTGGCTAGTCTTATATATTTTTTTTCTTTACCTTGTTTTTAATGTTTTTATTTGGATACCTTGTACTATTTTCTTGATATTTTATCGATATATTACATAATTATAATAAAACTGTAGAGGTCGAATGTCTGTACATAGAAAAAAAATGCTAATAACCGAGTCAGGCGGATGTAAGAAGAGAATTAGAACAAATCCAGATTTTTTCAATTTTTTTGTTTCTCTACCTGTTTGTCTGTTTGTACAGGCTAATCTCCAAAACTGTTTGACCGATTTAAATGAAATTTTGCACGGTGGTACCTTATATCTCCGGTCAATATTTTAGATACTTTTCATCCCGGAAAATTAAAGATGGGATAGTTAAAAAATTATAGTAACTTATACAGCTTAGTACACAACAACTTATGCACCTACGAGTAATTTAGTAAAATTTGCCAATTATATAAATTTGTAAAATTTGCCTTATATTGCCGTCGGATAGATCTGTTTGTGCTTTTCTAGAGGCGAACCCGAGCGAAGCCAGGGTGAGCCGCTAGTCTTAAATAATTCCTGAAATAAGATAAACATTTTTAAAACACAGAAAAGAAAAAAAATATAATAATAATTAGAAAATTTCTTCATATTTTATCTTAAATAAGATGAACAGTTTTCAAATACAGGAAAGGAAAAAGGTACCTAATTAAAATTATAATATAACTAGCGACTCACCCACGCTTCGCTTCGGATTCATCTCTAGACAAAAACCTATCCCACGGGAACCGTAAATTTTCTGGAATGATATATGGGTATTTCTCAGCGCCTTAAATTTTCGATTTCTGGAGGTTTATCTCCGTAACTAGCTAATAAAACGTTCTGAAATATTTTTTTTAATGCACCTTAGACTTTTGTCTAACTTGTTCCGTTTGTATAATAATTGCATTTTAAATATATAAAAAAATCGTTTGAAACTCGTACTTCTGATTCATATTACATGTCCGTTCCCCAGTTTTCTTAACAAAATTATAAATAACGCGTTATCTTATTGAAAAAACAATATAAATTATAATCACATCTAAAGAAGCTTAGTTATCTTGTAACAAAAAAAATGAGTTATATCTACGTTAGTTTACTTATTATAAATAAAGAAATAAAAGATGTCCGGCATAAAATTCTGATTAATATGGCGCGCGCTTCACTCGATCGTACTCGGCGAAATACGAAAAGTGACACCATCACTACCCGCATGGGGGTAGTCTGTTGTGCGACGAACGGGCCCAAAGGTAGACATTTGGCTAGGTCAGCGTCGATCAGGAGATACAAGAGTAAGTATTTGATTCATATGTTCTCGATTCAGGTGGGTTTCTGATTAATATGTCTAGTTTACAAATTAGGTTACAGAGTTTTAAAACTTGAATCTATGCCCCAGAAAATACGTTTGAGTTATAGATTTTTGTGGTTAAAAGCGAATACCGATGTAAATATATGTCACGGGTAATCGAAGATTTAAGGCAAAATTCTGATTTATCTGGGTCTGATTCATATGGTCAAAAACCCATATGAATCATAAAGTGGTACATTTTGTTTAAGTTATTTATCATACAATCATCATTAAGATCAGGTCCCAAGCATCACGACACCGTGATTGCGACACAACGAAAGAAAAATGATATAATATATAGTATAGGATGTCACATAGACGAATGCAGTGCAAATAGCCATAGCTATGCTGATGATATGGTGCTGCTTAGTCCATCAATAAGATGTTTGCAGAGGCTCCTTTCTATTTGTGGAAAATATATTAAAAGTCAGTTACGATGGTATTTAAATATAAAAATGGATCTGGCTATGTACCTGACGTTGTTCTAAATAATGTTAAGTTTGATCGTCGTGTTATAAAATTTAAATACCTTGGACATATAGTAAATAAAATGTTAACAGATAAGAGCGACTTAGAGAGGGAACGTAGTGTAGAATAAAATGTGATTTGATTGAGATGTCAAATAAACAGTCTGTCAACGGATCTTGTTGTTACACTACATGGTGACAGCGGTGCGCATTTAAAATTAAAATTATTTAGTTTAAACATACAAAAAGTATTAAACAATATTTGCATTGTGTGTATAGACGTATAAAATTCATTTATTTGTGTAAAAATGGAACATGCGCGGCCGCCGAGTGAATTATCATTTGAAGGAGGTCCGGCAAGTCGAGCAGATTCATGGCTTCGTTAAGCTTCAAAATGATCTTTCTCCGGCAACATTACATTCAGAAATGATGATCCCGGACGATGAGGTCATGGTAAGGGACTGTGACAGTTCAGGTAGTGCTGAATTAGCTACACTTTGTTCTTCCCAACTACAAGTCGGTGATTCTGATAACTGTTCACCGGTGAGCTTTAGTAAAAATAACGAAGCGCGACAAACCAGGATAGCTGCAAATAAAGCTAGGGATAGAATTAAAAGATGTTTCTAAAAAAAAATGTAATAATTAGTAATTAGCAGATAAATGCATGTTGCTTAAATTTGATTCTATAATAGTATTATTTATTAGTTATAATTATTTGTATTTGCATGTTACTTTCATTATTAAAGGGAAAGATGTAGAATAAAATGTGATTTGATTGAGATGTCAAATAAACAGTCTGTCAACGGATCTTGTTGTTTCACTACACGTAGAGCATTGCCGATGCGTGGAAACATGTTGACCAGGGTAAAATTACACTCTTTAAGGCCTATTGTCACGTACACGTTTTCAATGTTTCTTCTGTTTTTTTTTTCAAATTTTTAGACTGCCTAGATATTGTTGTGCGTCGTGGATGTTCCACGAGGCAAACACTGATGGTTTTGTTGCTGTCATAAGAAAGAGGATCGCATGTCTGAGACAGAGGATAAATGAGAGCACAAATTCTATCATGAAAACTTTTCCAGACATAGATTAAAGGATTTTTCATATTATGTTTTAGTTTAAATATTTAATTTTATTTATTGTTCTTAATGTAGGGAACCTTTGTATTTATTTTATTTAGTTTATAATTTAATTTTAGTTTGATTTACCTACTTTTCAAATTGTATGGGAAAGTGTTCCGAAATAAAGATTTATTATTATTATAAAATTAATAATTAATAAAAAAAGTTATAATTAATAAAAAAGAATAATATTATATTATACAGGCTTATTTTTTTTTGTTTTTATTCCTGTTTCTGATTCATCTGTCACAAATTTTGATTCATATGGGCCCTAAAAAATTCAAGTTAAATATCTCAAAAATTATTTGATTAAAATGAGTGCGTAATTCAAATATATGTTATTTAGCATGTCTTTAATCATAAGAGTATGTTGAATAGAGCCAAAAGTGAAAATAATTTTTGGCCAGATAAATAAGACGAAGAACGTAATCTCGGAGAAATACCTATATAACCATAGTCTTCCTCAATAAACGGACTATCTAATGCAAAAAGTTTTTTTTAAATTGTATTAGTAGTTCCTGAGGTTAGCGCATTCAAACAAACAAAAGAGTCTGCGCCTTTATAATTAGTAAGTATAGATTCATTGAAAATAAATTTACTTTACGAGAAAAAGATTTTTAGACTCTCCTAACCCAGATGTGTGTTCACCTTGTCATGGTGGGGAGGCTTTTTAGGGTCCCACCGCAATGCCGCAAAGTGGCACTGAAAGATGGTGGGATGCTCCTGGTACTTCTTTGATAGCAGAGGTACCGTAGGAGCAACACCCTTATTGTTGGGGTCTACCTCGGTAGATCAGCCGTCGGGTCGTCGTGGTTGAGTGATTTAGTGATCTTGCGGGATCCCATTAAAATGACGGAGGTTCCATTGGGTTTTATTGTGTAGCGCTGGTTTCTCTAGCCAGTCCCACATAATCATCTGTATGTATACAGGTGATATGCGTAAATGCATTTGATGATAATAAAAGGGTTTAGGCTATTTTCCTGTTCAAGGCATATAATTGTATAACACATTGAATGATTATTTGCTTCTAGTTAAATTTCTAGAGGAAGAAAATAATACGCATATAATTATTTACATTTATTCAATAGATACTTATTGTATACTGCCTTTGACAGACCTCTTACTATACTAAGAGTCCATTAAGAATCTAACTATATTAATACCATTAAAAAATTTAGTAATAATGTTCATTTTTAAATTCTGATAACAATATATTTTTTTATATTTTCGTGTAAAGGATAAATATCATACAGACTTTATTCAGATCATCTTATCTATTCTTCTGTTTAATAAATAAAGTTAGAATATGACTAACGATAGAGCAAAAGCAAGAAAATTCGTAAAAAATATTTGTAGTACTTATTGGGAACTCTTTAATGTATAAGAGTTCTGTCGGTCCTTTAGCATAATTTTGTGCGGACGAACCTAATTGGGTCCTGTTACGTTTTTTCCTGGGTACAGCTCTGAGTAATAATCGTAGGAACTATGAAAAGTACAAGAAACCCAACAAATATTATAAAATGTGCTGTGGATGGTCCAAAGATGGATAATATTAGATGAGATAACTTATCCGCTTTGATAGTTTCTTTCACATTGAATATACTCGTAATTTAGCAAAAGATGACTTGACTTTCACTACATGGGCCATAAATTGGCGTAATGCTTTGAGGAAAATTGGTCGGAGATTGATAGGGGTGTCGAGAGATATGCACTGCCTGTGGCTTCACCCGCACATAATTTGTATAGGTATTTTTTCTTCTTGAATAGGATACTTAGCTGTTTTTTCTGTTCTACTTTCAGAGATTCTAAGAGGAGGTTTCTAGACAAGGGTTTGAACCTGCTTCACTTGGTTTATCAAGTGAATTGCCAGTGGATTGTAACTACTTCTCACTATAATCCATAACACCATAAATAGGACAATTAGAGATATCCACTTTATCATATAGAACAGTAAATAATAACATTAAACATTTATCTATCCAAGTAAAATTGAAAACGCTCCCTGTTTAATCAGTTAAGGAAGCAAAAAAACTGTTAATGAGATATATTAAAATAACTTAAGCATGTGATTTTTTAAGCTATTTGAGGCACGAGCAATTATTAAATCACTTAATATCGATTGTGTAAGACGTAGTAATTGCCATACACCTTGAGCTAAATAACTTTAAAATGATAAGTGACATATTTTAAGATTTCTTAATTGGCACTAAATATTTAATATAAATTAATGTTATCTATGCATATCTCTTTTATGTTGAAATCTATAGATGATGGCTTTATGGTGTAATGGTTGGTGGAATTCTAAATACACTATTGCGAGTTTGAGTTTGTCATGTCTTGGCTAGACTAGTATTTATCAATACGTATGTATGTATGTAAATATGGCCTCTTTGTGTTTTAAGATACCCATACACGCACACGATATACATAGCACGTAAAGCCGTCGGTCCTGCGCTTTAACTCTCACTGGTCGTGTCGAGTGTTCGTCCCACCGGAGTATGAGAGTGACAGGAATAGAGAGTGCACTTGTGTCTGCGCGTACACTTGTGCACTATAATATCTCCTGCGCAGTTGGCTAGTCTAAATGAGATTGGCCGCCATAGATATTAATAATAATTTATTAAGTTTAGATAATTATTGCACTTTACCCAAACAAAAATATTAAAAATATCGATAGAATATGTATAAAAATTGCATAGAGCTCATAACGTCTTAACTAGTTGAAGCCCAACAGATTGAGAATAACTTTTATAGAAATTCCTCTTTGTAAGCTTCAAAGAGAATTCTAGAGCAAGTAAAAAAATTGCAAGAATTTTCAAGAAATATACCTTCCTTTGTTCGATGCTAATGCCTAAGGGCGAAAAATAGTAATTATGCTCAACACACTATACATTATTATTATTTTTAATTTTTATATTGACCTAGCATTGCCCGCGGCTCCGCCCGCGTTCTGATGACCAAAAATAAAATTCTTAGGTTTTACAGATTAGTATACTTTTACCTTACGACAGACAGACAAACATTCTAAAAACTATAGATTCGGCCTCTGTATCGATAATAATGTCTATATCGATAATAATGTAATTTTATTATATGTATAAATAATATTTAAAAATTAAATATGTTTTCAAAGACGAAGCCAACGCCGACACAAAAAGTGAACGTGCTGAGATGGGTCGGCCAGAACTCAACAGTTAATTTTTTATAACTTTTAGATTACATTTCTTTGTATTAAGTCATGTGGAAGCTGTCTTAAATAAATATCAAACGGTCTTCTTCCCTCGCATTTTTCAAGTTATTCTTAGACTAAAACAATGGCTTATAGCAGAATTAATATAATTTTCTCAGAATATACTTATTAGAAACGAAATGAAATGAAGCTATAAAAATAATAATAACCTATAATATATCAAAGTATCTTAGGTTCAATTATAAAAATGCCTTACCCTTGTCGTAGATCCTTACTAGTTCCCTCGAGATATTATGTTCTATAAAGGATTTCATCTAAAATGACGATTTATTCTAGAAAATGAAGACTTCACATACGTAACTTATTATATTAGAGAAATATTATTATAACACCATATTATACATAGTTTTTTCTTCTCTGCGGTTGTCTAATTAAAATAAATTGGATTGAAGTTTTGAATAAAGAGATTAGACAAATAAAATGTTCATTTTTGACAGCACAGCAGTAAAAAAGTCATCTGGCTAGCAATAATTTATTTTTACCTATTAGTCTATACTAATATTATAACGAGGTCAAATTTTAAATAAAAATATCTTTTCGGATTATTTTGCGGATTTATTTTGATTTTTGGTTCCCGACGCGACGTTTCGAATGCTTTACAGCGATCATGGTCACGGGAGAGACTAAGGTTATAGACGTCTCAAACACATATAATATTTGTTACAGACGGTGCCTACCCACTATTGTACAAAAATGATTTCAAAAATTCAAAAAATGGTACTAAAGTACCTTACATTATTTGTTGATTTCTATTTTTAAACATATAATTTTTTTAATAAGTATTATAATTAAATATAGCAATATTATTTATTTAATTTTAGCTGTTATTATTCTAAATATTATTATTATTTTTAAAACTTTATTAATTACTAATATTATTTAGTGTTGCTATTATTATATTGTGTATAACCATAAAGAATATTAGAAAATTAAAAAATATTGATTATTTATCTAAGTGAGTTTGTGACGTTGTAGAGGTAATCTCTGGATCTACTTAACCGATTTAGATGAAATTTGGTAAGAAGAAGTTTGAGACCCTAGGAAGGACGTAGCACACTTTTTATCTCAGAAATCATTCCTAAAAGGGGTGAAAATGGGGATGAAATTTTGTATTGGGAAGCAAGCACGAACCCGAGGGAAGCGAGGGTGAGTCTCTATTATATAATATAGGCGGTAAAGAAGAATTTTATCAGATTATTCATTACGTAGGTTAAAATGTTCTCAAATAGCTTATTCTGAAATGCTAGTGTCTT